CTGGTTACCTCCGCAGATCTTTTTGGCAGCGTCATCGCAGACGGACTGGGATTCGGAAAAAGCATCCCATCTTAAGGACGAGAAAGCAGGGGCTGAGGGAGTCAATGATTTCTTCAAGATCACAGAGATGGCGGAAAGTTACAATTCAAAGTGGGATGGGTGATCACGCTTCTTAACGCCTTCAGTCGACAGCCTGCGCAAGAGAATGAAGCGCTGCCCAGCCCTTCGCCATCGTGATCATTGCTGTTTGAGTTCATTGTTAGGGCCATTGTGTCAGGTCCTCTTGTTTGAGGGTGTACCTTTATGCTGAGCGTCTACCAAGCATGACACCTTCTCTAGGGATTGACTGATCCTTCCTGAGACCGAATCCAAAGTATGTGAGACAAGGCCCTCCACCCTCGCTGCTGAGGAGCATTCTGGCTGCGCTCTTCAACGGAAATGTGTTCACGCTTCTGACCGTCCGTGGTATAGTCAGCATTTTTCATCAACACCATAATTCAGACATCAATTCTTCATTGGGTCCAACTTTTGCATGGATATGAGGCTATTGATAGTACCACGGCATAGGCCAAGTGCCCCTTAATCCTCAAAGTGCCAGCCTTGCTTTTCAACACGTTTGCCGCGGGTTGGCTCAGTACAATACGGTGTTTGATGTATTGAGTGCTGTTTCCATGAGCATTGATTGTGGGCCCAAATAAAATGAAATCCTTGACAACGTCAACATCTCCATGGATCATGGTATTGCTTGCTCAATGATACCAACCAATAAACAAAGACTAAGTTATCTAAAGAAAGTCGCCATTTGGAGACACTGTAGTCATGACTCAGACAAAAAGTACCGATTGATGAATCTTGGTACTGTTTCTAAGTATTGCCCCACAGATGATCTCTGAATTACAAAAAGTAAAGGGTACCTTGACCTTGAAGGAATCATCCTTAATCAATTGATCATCATCCCCCGGGAGGGGCCAGCCCACTCCATGTGCCTTTGACGGGACACTCTGAGGGAGTATTTTGCCAAAAGTGCTATATTCATGAGGGAATGATCTGATCAAAGTGAGGGATGTGTAAAACAGTCTCTTTGAAGGCGTATATTTCACGAAAGATGAAGAAAACGAAGAGTGAACTGTTCTTGATTGAAGGACATGGCCCTAAAAATCAATGTGCGTTCCTAAATTGGGCCCTGCATAAAAGTAAATTTGTAAAAAATTCTATAAGCAGTAGTTTAGAAGCCATTGTGGAGCTTTAAGGAGCACTGGTCGTGCAGTGGGTTGCACGGTGAGGCTGCTAACCAGAAGGTTGGTGGTTCAACCCCAGCAGCCACTCCTCAGGGAAAAAGATGAATCTGACTGCTTCCAAACAGACGTACTCTCTCTGAAACCCTTTGGAGCTTGACCCTGTGGGAATCTTGATGGGAGTGGGCGAGGGAGGAGATTTGAATATACAGACCAGATCAGTAGTACGGTTACAATGCGGTTTCCTGAAGATAATTATATTTTGACTTTGTGGAAGTATTCTTGTTAGGAGCTGCATACTGAACTTACTAAATGTTTAGTAATACAGTTTTTAGCATGAGTCCGCAATTAATGGTTCAAAAGAAGCAAGTGAAAGCAAGTGATCGAACTGTGGAATGATAGGATACTGTATTAGTTCCCCATAAAATGGTTCTGGAGAAAAACTCAACTGAAAAACCCCTCCCCACAAAATTGGTGACGCTAGGTGAGGAATGGGTAAGTGTTTGCTGTGCGAAGAGCCCTGGTGGTGGAGTGAGCTGATTACACATTGAGCTGCTACCCACACAACACACACTCACCAGTCCGAACTCACCAGCCACTCCACTGGCACAAGATGAGCTGTCTGCTCCCCTTAGATTTACACCCCAAGGGGCAGTTTTGCTCTATCCTATAGGGTCTCCGTGAATCAGAATTGACTGGACGACAGTACGGTTTAAAAAAAGTTTTCTATGCTATTTATGGAACTTTTCAGTTTCAAAGTAAAAAGGTGAGGAGAAAACACACACACATACACACTGAATTCTAAGGCTCAAGCCGCAACCAGGTTGCTACTTAAGTCAACAGGTGGATGTGATGTGCCTGCTTCGTGTAAGACATTTCAAAATATTCAGATAAAAAAGATGAATGTCCCCAAGGGACTCATCATCTAAGACTTGGACAAATAACTGCTGCATGAGGCGAAATATGATAAGTGCCATAAGCAAAGCTGAACCACCTAATGGACGAAATAAAATGAGCCTTAGAGTCAAAAGAAGCTGAGTTATGTGTCGCAGCTCTGCGACCTCTGGGTTTGGGCGAGCATCTCAATCGCTCTATGCCTCCATTTCCTCAAAACAGAAACAACTAAGTAATGTATACTTGGGAAGATTAAAATGAGTTGTAAATGAAATCATGTATCCATAGCACGTCATTTACCCAGTATGTTGAAAATATTCATTAGTTAATAAATCTGATTGTGGGGGGAAGTCAGATACTTGCTGCCAGACTGCTGTCTCATCCCACCACAGGGGTGGGGGTGGGGGGCCTGCTCCCTGATGCTAGAGACAATGGGTTACCTCTCTCTGGATCCTAAGGCCATTAGTTTGGTTCCTGTGGGCGGAGTTCACACCCAACTGATAATGGTTCCTATGGAGACCCAAAGTCTAGTTAAGCTGCTACCAGAAATCTAGGATCCGCCCATCTTGCCGCATGTACACCCCCAATCCCTCCTCCTGTAGTGCATATGTCCCTAAATCACCCCCTCCTATCCCTGTAATACCTGGAGCACAACCCTTTCCTGTGACGTATGTCTTCACCTGTAATGTGGGGGCTTGCACATCCCCAATGTCCCGAGAGAGTATAAAAGCTTGGGGAGCATTAAAGTTCGCCCTCACTCCCTCCACGTGGATTACCAAGCGGGGCTGAGGTGAGCATGCTACCATAATATGTGTCTGACTCCATTTATTTCTATATATCTCTTTTATCTCTCATGCTCTCTATAACTTTACTATAATATTTACTTATTATCGCTGTACAATTGCGCCTACCAAACCCGTAGTGATTGTGCTAGGAGCTGGCTTCTTCTGACAGCTGATGAAATTTTTTCTGATTTTATTTATTTATTTATTTTTAAATCGTTTTATTAGGGGTTCATGCAACTCTTATCACAATCCATACATACATCAATTGTGCAAAGCATATTTGTACATTCATT